TTAGTTGCATTCTCTTAACTTTTATAACTCCAATTAATCCTGATGTGACATGGAAGCTATCAGCTGAAAATATGTCTACCCCATGTGCTTCATTGCCTGGTGGCAGTCTTAACTGTTGATAAGAATAAGTAGTGAAGTAAATTTTAATGGACTTAGAGTATCTTCTGAAATATGTAGAATTTGAAAATTTGAAGTAGGCATCACAGGGTATAGAACTAAGTTGAAAATATTTTCATTTTTAGAAAATCTTGGGCATGAATGAAATAAGTGAAGCTGAGTGAGAAGATAAATGTTTACAAGAGTCTGAAAAATGATGAGTGTCACAGGTCATTTGGATAACAACTAGAGGTCACCTTCCGGGGCTGTTTTCTATGTCATACTAAAAAGTGGTCACAGAGCCAGTCTCAGAGCTCAACCTGAGACTTAGTTATGTCATTCTCTGCATTTTCACTACATTGATACATGAAAAATCAATGCATCCTATAGGCAAATATCATGAACAATGTGGTCCGTTTTTCTCTAGGAAATGTCAAATTATTAATAACTTGAATGTCTAATAAAATCTAAAGAAAAAATAGGATTATTTTAGAGCACGAGAGCATGGTCATAAATCATAAAGACCAATAATACCATAGGCACAGTTTTCGAATACATTATGGACTTATTGTCTTACCTCGAAGCATGTAGTGACAATTTTACATACATTTTACAACCTGAAAAATAATCATTATACAGGTGTATGACATAGCATTTTCCAGAAGATGTAAAAAGACCTTTGATAGAATGTCCAGAAGAGTCAAACTGTAAGAATATAATCTCCAGAAAATAACTGTATTATGTGAAACTTGGAACGAATTTTCCCATAGGAAAAGTATTTAATATTAATTGAGATTGTACAGAAAATGAAACTGATAACATTTTTTTAATCTTTATTTTAAATGTTTCCCTATTCTTTTTTTTCTGGTATCATGGCAATATTGCAAAATGTAATAATGTTATTGGGATCAACATTTAAATTGCTAGATTTATCAATTGTTATTTAGAATTTTATTTGTGAAGTATAGTACTTTATTTCTTTTAAGTTTCCATTCACATTTTTGTTTTGTTCTAATACCCTTTATCCATGAAAAACAGCAGTTTTACTACATAAACATGTTTATTTCCTTGTTTTTTTAAAACTTATTTCAGCTTTTCATTTTTATTAACAATATTTAAATTTCCCTGTAGTTGATATTATGCAGGTAGGGTAATCCATACTATTAATGTAATTAAGGGAGTATGTATGTTAAATGTGAGAGTAGAAATTGGGAAATGATTAATGTCTTTCTCTTCAAATCAAAGGAAGAAGAAATATTTTGGATGTATAACACATCAACTGACAGCAAGTGGGTGAAAGCAGATGTGTTAATACCAGAAGATCTGAAGACATTTAAGGTATAAAAAGAAAAAAAAAAAGTTTTTAAAATCATAAATTTAACTTTTGGCTTTGCAGTAATGAATTTATCATCACTGCTAAATTTACATTAACATTTAAATTAGGGATGTAGACTTGTGTATTTGGGGAGAGCAATTACCTACCTACTTCTTTTTACTGTACGTGGCCCTTCTCAGGCCAAATTTCCCATGAGTGGAAGGACCAGAATGTGTCTACTCTTGTTTAAACCTTTTTCATTCTTTATGGGCTTCTTTCCTCCCATCCCCCAGCACTACGCATTGCGCCCAGGGAAGCAAATTGCATGATGAACCAGATAAATAGTAAACTGGTATTGAAATTCAGTGGAGTATGTTTTGAATCACGTGGGTGACTCTACCCCAAGATACATCTGAAACATACACAGGCTCAGTGGGGATGCTGTCTCTTAAAAAATTAACATGAGATTTTGTGTTGTATATAGAGTATGTAGGTGCATTTATGCTGAGTATGAGTATAAAATGATAAGATTGATTGTATGTGTGGCTTACGAAACCCATTTCATTCCTTTATGGAAATACCATATTCATACATTGTTCCCGGTGTTAAAAGGAAGAACCCAAAAGATAGTGGAGGTATAACCATGCAGACTTTCAGAATTATATATCCTGTGAGGTTGGAATTTCCAAACCACAGCATTTTTGCAGCAATCTTAACAAAGTTGAGGTTTATAGCACAGCCCATTGAGTTAACGTTTTGACACTGTCTTAGTTTTTATAAGTTGATATTTATCTTTATAACTTCTCAACAAAATACTCAACAAGTTTCTTTCATTTTTCATAAACTGAAGATTAAAGTTTGTTTTGTTTTATAACTCAAAGATAAACAAAATAAAATGTAAAGAAAATAAATTTGGAAATTATTCTAGGTTTCCAAATACTTATGAAATGTAATTAGCTTTTCAATAATGGTAGGCTTCTGAAATTTAAGTATAAACTCGTTAATTTTTAAAATCCCAACTGATACCATTTTTGCATATCTGGTCTCTTACTGCTATGAAAATACACAGGTATAGGTCCAGTAATTTTTGTATATGTGATATTCATTGCAGAGAAAGTATATAACGCATACAAAGTTTTCTTATTGTTATATATGATTTAAATTTAATGCTACTTCCTAAACTAAATTGTTAGATATATTTTCAAACTGAAATTTGATCTTACAGAATTCTTAACAAGCAAATATGTATCCCTCATGTCTTTGAAAAGAAGAAAATCTGTTCAGAAACTTTAAGGTGGATAAAACCAAAAGAAGTCAGTCTCTATTCCTGGTATTTTACTGAAACTTCAGCAACATCCAGTTCCGTGCTATTCAGTGGAACTTTCTGCAGTAATGGGAATTTCTATATCTGCTGTTCAATATGGTAGCTACTAGCCACGTGGGGCTATTGAGCAATTTGGCTACTATGACTGCAGAACTAAATTTTAATTTTATTTTAATTGATTTAAATTGAGGTAGTTCCATGTAGCTAGTGGCTACCCTACTGGACAGTAGAGAATTAGTTATTTGTGATACAGTCCTCTATTTATACTTCTGTACTCTTGCTGTTATCTAACCATTGCTCTTGGTG